AAAACAAAACAAAAAGAACAATTTACAACTATGATATGATGAATACAGAAACATGGGAACAATTTGCAAACACAATTAAAGCAAAACTTGCACAATCAAAAACAGATTCACTAAGCCCTAATATAAAAAACCTCAACAAAACATAGCATATATTAGCAAACTGCATTAAACAAAGCACAAACAAACATATCCTACATACATGCAAAGTAACACAAAGTAATAACCATCTATTCTCACCTACAGCCACCAAATTACATAAGGCACTCATACACATAAACAAGGCACAAAGACACATAAGTATACACAAACAAGCAACAAATATGAAACGAATATACAACTTTATACAACAAACCAACAACCTATCTAATATACAAATACAAATACAACCCAACACAATAATAGAAGAAATAGATTCAATACTCAAGACAACCCAACAACAAATCAAAACAGCTAGAAACATAGAAAACCAAACAGCGAAAAACCTATATATAAAGAATTGTATTGAATGCAGATACCAAACCTTCCAAAACAATACATCTAAAATGATAAAAAGTGTACTTAAAAAACACACAGACCCCGTAATATTACACAATATCCGAACACCTAACAATATAATCACAGAACCCCAGGAAATCAAAACTGCAATACAGGAACATTTCAAACACTGGACAAAATTAAACCTAACTCAAACAGAACTATGGAACGAATGGGCAGACGAATACAAACCAATTCAAACAATAGACCCAACATGGTATAATACAATCACGACAAAGATCACATCCTCCGAACTAGAGTTTATAATCAAAGAAGCACCCAACACAAAGGCTACTGGGCCCTCAAAAATATCAAATGAAATGTTAAAACATCTAGGCTCTCAAGCGAAAGCCACAATCTTAAACCTATTAAACAACTGTCTGACACTACATGACGTGCCAACTGCATGAAAATATAGTACAATATACCCCATATCAAAAAAATTAACATTTACAGGAGATCTAAACCAAACACGCCCAATTACACTAATCGAACATACTAGAAAAATCCTTACAAAAATCATTGTATAAAGACTTGATCCCATCCTATCCAAATACAGTATATTGAATCCCAACAACTACGTAGCTCTAGCAAACACCTCCACCGCAACACCAATACATAC